CTTTTGTTGTCTCCTGTCTGTGGCTGGGGTTGTGTCTCAGCTCGCGAGAGGGGGAGGTCGTTCCCTTTGTGAGTGGGGTGTCTATACTGCAGTACCCTTCCTTGAAGGACTGGATGGGTGCAGTGGAGCTGCAGATGACCGTTTCTTTGGCGGATTGTGTTTCTCGGGCTCTTCGAACGCTGGAGCAGTTCGACTTGTCTGAGCTGACAGCAGCAGCAGCAGCAGCAACAACAACAGCAGCAACAGGAAACGACCCGCTTGAGAATCCATTTGTGAAATGGATTAAAGAATTCCCGCTACAGGCGTTGTTGCTTGCTATGAATATACGATGGACTAAGAGATGCGAGGCGGCTTTGTCAGTTGATGATCCTCACCAAGCAGCAAAATCAGAACAAAAGGAACACCCTCTCGAGTCTTCTGCTCTGAAGGACGCAGTTGACCTTCTTGGGTTCCTTGCTGATCGCGTCGTTCAAGATGTGGGGCCCCTCATACGCAATCGAATCGTTCACATGATAACAGAAGTCGTACACCAAAGAGACGTATGCAGGTAGGTCCTTTGTCAAGGTATCTTCGCTACAGCACCAGCAGCAGCAGCAGCAGCAGCAGAAGCAGCAGAAACAGCAGAAGCAGCAGCAACATGAGTGTCAGTTACACTTGCAGCGGTGCTTTTCTTGAGAAGATATTGACTTGTATTTCTTCTCCTTGGGTGAGATATCATCACTGTTTGTGCTGTTTCTCATGTTTTAATGATATTTAATATTTAAATATTTAACTAAAATGTTTAGTATTATATTTTGCATGTGGTGGCTGGTGATATCAACTTCATTTCAGGTCTCTCATAAAGAATAACGTGGTTTCTAGGAAAGACTTTGGATGGCTCGAATGCATGCGTTTCTATTTCACCCATCCGCCGCCTTCGGGCCCCATAATTCCTCAAGGGCTTCTTAAAGTCTGCATGGCAGATGCAACATTTGATTACGGATTTGAATATTTGGGTAACTCGCACTGGGGTTTCACGCTGCGGATACACTTGACGTGTACAGGGTTTCTGTGCCGCAGGGAGAAACTGAAAAGGCAGCAGCAACAGGAGGGGCACAGTAGCAGCTAGAGAAACACAGCAGCAACAGAAGAACCGCAGAAGCAGCACAGAGCAGAAACAAAGATATAAATAAAATGGGGGTTTTATTCAATCAATAAATTCTGAATCTTGTGATATGTGCGGCTACAGGTATGGCCGAACGACTCGTGCAAACCCCGCTCACGGATAAGTGCTTCCTCACTCTGACTCAAGCCCTGAAGATGAAACTGGGTGGCAACCCGTTTGGTCCTGCAGGTAATGCAGATGCAATCACGAGCGGCTGTATAGACAGCATGATATAAATATGTCTCGTATTAGGTTAATCGTTGCATTCACGCCGATGAGAGCAATACCACCATATATGTGTTACACAGCAACACGCGTGTTCTTTGTCGACGCATGAAGGCTGTGTTTTTTGTTTGTTTTCTTCGTCTCAGGAACTGGAAAAACGGAATCGGTTAAAGCCCTCGGTTCTGCATTGGGGAGATATACGCTGGTGTTTAACTGCGATGAGACTTTCGATTTCAACGCTATGGGTAGACTCTTCTCGGGGCTGTGTCAAGTGGGGGCCTGGGGATGCTTTGATGAGTTTAATAGACTTGATGAGAGGATCCTTTCTGCTGTATCTGAACAGATTCTCACGATCCAGGTTAGCAGCAGCAGCAGCGGCAGCAGCAACAACAGTCATCGCGTCTGTATTATTTCACTCAGATACACCGATGCCAGTTGTTTTTCTCGCACGCACCCAAATGCAGCAATCTTAGAGCAGAGGGTCGTGAGTGGTTAGCTTAGGCGTTTCGGTTTGAATTGAACAGCTTCTGCTACTCTAGCATTTGATTTCGGGTGTAAGGGGTTTCATGCTCTCTCTCTTCTTGTGTGTTATCTTTTCCTGTGTGAAGACTGGGCTACGTGAAGGCCGCAAGGAGATTGAATTGCTTGGGAAAGCAACGAAACTGAATACGAATGTCGGCATCTTTGTCACTATGAATCCCGGCTATGCTGGAAGATCAAACTTGCCGGACAATTTGAAACAGTTGTTCCGTGAGGTGGCAATGATTAAACCAGACAAACAACTCATTGCTCAGGTTACACTGTATGCACAGGGTTTCCGCTCGGCCGAGCGTCTATCCAGCAAGGTGATATCACTGTATGACTTGTGCGATCGTCAACTATCCAAGCAGCCCCATTATGATTTCGGCCTTCGATCCTTAAAGAGTGCACTCAGCTCTGCTGGTAATCTGAAACGGCAGCTGTTGCAAGAGGAAGCTGGAGCGGGAACGGCTGTAGACGATCCCGAGGTGGTGGAGTCGGTGGAGCAGAAGTTACTCATTCGATCTGTCACGGATACCGTGGTGCCGAAACTTGTTGCCCAGGATGTGCCTCTCCTGCGTAGTTTGCTGATGGGGGTATTCCCAGGGGCTGATATTCCTGCACTAGACGAGAAGATTCTATTGGATGAAATTGAACGTCTCTGCGAAGCACGTTTCCTTGAGGCGAAGGGAGAGTGGCTCGAAAAAGTGCTGCAGCTGTATCAAATTCAAAGACTACAGCACGGTGTAATGCTGGTAGGCCCAGTGGGAACAGGGAAATCTGCTGCCTGGCGTGTGCTGCTGGATGCGATGGAGAAGGTAGACGGCATAAAGGGGATGTCGTACGTCTTGGATCCAAAGGTGGTTGCCAAGGAGCAGCTGTACGGCAAACTCGACTCTACCACTTTAGAGTGGCAAGACGGTGTATTCACAGCTGTGCTTCGTAAGATCCTCGCAACAACGCAGGAGGCTGGAAGCGGTGCTGCACAGAGAAGACATTGGATTGTGTTTGATGGTGACGTCGACCCCGACTGGGCGGAAAACCTGAACTCTGCTCTCGATGACAACAAACTGCTAACGTTACCTAACGGAGAAAGGCTGGAAATTCCCAATTGTATTCGTCTTATATTCGAAGTCGAAACCCTCAAATATGCCACTCTTGCAACTGTCAGTCGTTGTGGCATCGTATGGTTCGCGAGCTCCGTGCTGCCTGATGATGTCGTGTTTCAACATCACCTCGATGAGATTGCTGCTGGATCAGCAGCAACTGAAGTTATCCTCCAAGGTGTAGGAGGTCAGGCAAAGGGAATTGATCGCAGCGGCTCGACTCGAGCGATTTCTCGTGAATTCGGGCGATCAAGTTCGCACATCATGTCGAGGGGGAGTGTGGCCAAGTTAGCATCCAAGGTAACCCTGCTGGGTGGAGGAGCAGCAGGAGGCCGAGGTGCTGCAGAAGCTGTTGCACAGGGGATTAAGGAGCGCTGTGTTACCATCCTTGAGCCTTTCTTCTGTGCTGGGGGCTTCGCAAGTCAGTGCCTGGATAAGGCAATGAAGCATCAGCATATAATGGAATTCACACGGATCAGATGCGTCGAAAGTATGTTCTCTCTCTTAAAAAAGGGAATTAATCGTATTGTCGAAAAGAATGAAGAACTGAGATCAACAGGCGAATCCATGGATGATGACCTCATAGGGCAGTTCATCACAAAGGCAAGCAAACACTGGTGCAGCCACAATTCATGTATATATATATATATATATATATATATATATATATATATATATGTATGTATATTATACGATGTGCTGTCTCTAATATGTATGTATGTATACATATATAATATTTAACATCGCAGTCGAACAGAAGGAACAGGAGTTTGAATTTTGTTGTGGATTTTGCAGTGGATGGTTTTGTCTATCCTTTGGGGAATGGGAGGATCCCTAAGTCTGGCGGGTCGATCTGCATTTAGCGAAGAAGTGGCGCGCATCTGTGATTTACCTCTGCCCGCTGGACTGGGGCCTGACGGTGGAGGAGAACAAACCCTCTTAGATTTTGAACCGTCGCTCGAGGACGGCCAGTGGCACTCATGGAAGTCTCGCGTTAAACAGATGGAAATCGACACCCAGCAGGTGCGCCTGACACGCTGCAACCTGACGCCTAAAGGCGAAACTAATAGCGCAGACTCGTCCCCTGCGTCGCGTGATCAACTCCTCATGGATCTGAAGGTCTATCTTTGCTTTCCTGTTTGCTTTTACGTTCTGCCAGGTGAAGGACGCTTCGCTTGTGATTCAAACTGTGGATACACTGCGGCACCGTGATGTAGTTGAGGGATGGCTCGAAGAGAAGAAACCCTTCATCCTGTGTGGCCCTCCTGGCTCTGGAAAGACGATGACGCTCACGGCAGTGCNGAAGAGAAGAAACCCTTCATCCTGTGTGGCCCTCCTGGCTCTGGAAAGACGATGACGCTCACGGCAGTGCTGAAGGAGCGGGCGGATTTCGACGTTGCATTTCTCAACTTCTCATCAGGTACCACTCCTGATTTGTTGTTCAAGACGTTTGATCACTACTGCGAGCTAACCAAGACAGCTGCCGGGGGTATGGTCATGCGGCCAGTTGTCCCTGGCCGCACTCTCATCATCTTCTGCGATGAATGTAACCTCCCCTCTCCTGACAAGTATGGCACGCAGCACGTTATAATGCTGATCCGCCAAATAGCCGAAACGGGAGGCTTCTGGCGCTCGATGCCACAGCTGCAACAGGCGTCGCCGTGGGTCTGGATTCGCGTGGAAGGGGTGCAGTTCGCAGGAGCGTGTAACCCGCCAACCGATGCAGGCCGTCATCACATGAGCAATCGTTTCCTTCGGCATGCGCCGATTATATTTGTCGATTTCCCAGGGAAAGATTCGCTTATTCAGGTAACAAATATTTCCATCCAAAGGGTTCACTCCTCAACTGGCGGACGACAACTCTACGTGTGTTGCTGAATGTATCTGTTGTGGGTGTGGTGCGGTTGAGCTCAGATCTACAGTACATTCAATAGGGCTCTTCTGCGCCCATATCCTAGCCTGTTCCCATCTGCTGATGCGCTTACTATGGCAATGGTGGAGTTCTATACCTCCTTCTCGAGTACCTTCACTGTTGACCAGCAGCCTCACTATATCTACTCACCGAGGGAGCTGACGCGGTGGAAGCTGGCGTTAGCAGAGGCTCTGGAGGGGGGAGCACGATCGGATTCTGAAGCATTCAGGAAGTCATCCTCTGGCGAAACAAGCTGGGGAAGGAATGACCAGCTCAGAGGAATAAATGGCAACGACGAAATCACCCTCACACAGCTCGTCAGGACTTACGCCCACGAAGGGCTGAGGATCTTCAGCGATCGTCTTGTGACAGAAGAAGAGAGACAGAAAACCGACAAAATGCTTGATTCAATCGTTCAAACGTAAGTTCGCGCAGAGGCAGAAACATGTTCAGCGTGTCAACCAACGGAGTATGTGTTGCTGAGGCTCCCGTTTGCCTCTGGCCGTTTCCTTGGGTTAAATAGGCAGGAAAAAAACGCGAAGTGAAGCAAAAACATGAGCATGTATCTACACATATAGAGCGAGCTGTTTTCTTTTGTGGTTGTGGCGCTTCAGGCACTTCCCGAGCGTTAGTGAAGCAGCTCTGCAGCGTCCTATCCTCTTCACCAGTTTGGCCAGTCGCCAGTACTGCGAGGTATCGATGCCGGCGTTACGTTCTTTGCTGCAAGGAAAGCTGCGTGTGTTCAATGAGGAAGTATTTCAAGTGCAGCTGGTGTTTTTCGATGAAGTGCTGCACCATGTGGCACGGATCGACAGAGTTCTCCGGCAGCCTCTCGGGCATCTCTTGCTGGTAGGGGCGTCAGGAGCGGGGAAGACGATTCTA